TCTTTTTCTCACTTAACAGTGACCCTTGAGATTATCACCTGGAACCCTTGTCAGAGCTACCTTGGCTAAGGTGAGGTGTTGGAGATAGAGGTTCTCTGCTCTGGCATCCTGGCTTCATTTTGCCAGGCATAGCATAGCCTTTTGATGGTATCATAGTATCAGGATCCAGGATTCTGACTTATCACACATATTTCCTTATTGTTAGGCTATTTAATTATTAAAAGTTTAGAAAAGTAAAGTATTTTTGAGTTCTGCCAGGTAATTTTAGGCCAACACACCAGGTAACAAAAAAAATTACTTATTTTGCCTCCCTTTTTAAGGTATCCCTTAGTAACCCCTCTTAGGCTAGAGTGAGGCACAGCTGAGCAAAGGTAGAATTTAGGTATTCCAAGTTGCCTTAGGAAAGGTAGCATTTCTATATCACTTATGAACATATACTAATATTATCTCAGTTTCTTAAGCAATGTAAGAATAACCATCCAACTCTGGCCTTTTCACAATAAGCCAGGTGGTGAAAGAGACATACCACATGATCTAACCTTTAACAGGAACCTAAACACAAAACAATCAAACAAGCAAAATATAAGCAAAGACACTGAAATACAGAACAGGCTCACAGTGTCCAAAGAGGAGAGGGGAAGAAATTTCAGGGGAAAGAGGGGAAGGGTTTACAGGAACAAATATAAAGGACACATGAACAAAAACTAGGGGGGGTGGAAATGGGAGGGAGAGGGGAGGCGTGGGTGGGTGGGCTGGGATGGGAGTAAAAGACAGAAGACTGTACTTGAACAACAATTTAAGCCCTGGCTGGGTAACTCAGCTAGCTACCTGATAGCTACCCTGGTTGGTTAAAGTGATGTCCAGATATGCGAAGGCAAAAAAGTAAGTGGAACTATACATTGATGTCTCTCTCTCTCTCAAGAGGCTGATATTTACGTGTTCCTACTTCTCTCCTAAAAGACTTGTGGCGGATCTCTAAGAACATGCTCTAAAACTTCAAATTGTGTCAGATTATCAGGTCCTATGGGGCTTCAGACCTTCCCAGCCCTTACTCTATCCATTCACCTCTCCTCTTAACCTTCTCTTACTTACAATAAGCAATGCAAGCACTGACTAGAAAAAGTCAACAAACTGGACCTCAGCTACTGCCTGGAAGCATTTCCTCTAAAAGAAAAACATACAAATGTTTATACAAAAGGAAAATACTCTAAAAATACACTTGAAAATAATAACCACATCCAAAAGACAATAAATTTCGGCAAAACCAACTGCTTTCACATAACAATTATTTGCAGAGAGTCTAGAGTTATTCTTGTCTTTTTCACACATCCTTTCCTGCTAAGATACTCATGTAAGTACAGGACAGGTTGGGCATCCCTCCCTGTTTCCGCAGAAGCAGTGGAGATAGTGCACAGAGCTGGCAGTGATCCATTCAGAGATGCATACGGGACAGCAGCAGATCTAGAAGAGAAGTTTTAAGAGACAAGGACTAGAAGAAGATAGGCCTATACTTCTCTTTCTAGTGCAAGTGTTGGAAATACATGTGTCAGAAGCTCATCATCTCACCACAATATTTCTTTAATGTTGGATTGCCAGATAAAAAAAGTACAGAATGCCCAGTAAAAGTAGAATTAAACAGCAATTAATTTTAATATATGTATGTCCTATGTCATATTTGAAACATACTTACAATAAAAATTATTTGTTTTTCTGAAGCTCAGTTTAACTGGGTGTTCTCTGTTTGCTAAGTCTATGGCCCTAGGTAATATATATATCTTTTTTAATTATCCACAAGTGCCCTTGGCTCTAGGTGCTTTTTATCTTCAGGCCAGTCCTATACCCTAAACTCCAGGCACATAAACCCCACTGCTTACTTGATATCTCTACTTCAGTGTCTAACAGGCACTGTTAGACCACCTTAAACTCAACATAACCCAAACAGAGCTTCAGCCACCTGCCGCTGCCCCTTCATCTCTCCAGAACTGCACCTCCTGCAGCTGGCCTCACCCCTCTTAGGGGTCTATTCCATTGCCTGGGTCAAAAATGTGATGTCATACTTTGCTCCTCTCTTTCTCTCGCTCCTCCAATCCTTTATTTTTCTATGATTGCAGTGAATCAGAGGACTCTCTCTCTTTAATACTTTGTACATTTGAGGCTAGAAAATGGGCTGAAGCATTATAGTCAATGAAGAAATGTGCCCCCAAGGACTTCCGCACAAAGTTTGTCCCGGGCTAAAAAAGTTTGTTCCTTGGAAACAGGGAGCCTCTTGCCACATTTGTGTCCATTAACCAACCAATGATTGTGCTTAAAGAAGGGCAAAGGTGACAACACCTTTTGCATTTATAAACTCAGTCAATCCGCAGCTTTTGCTTTCACTTCCAACAAAGCTTAAAATGTATAGTGGGAAGTGTCGTTGGAAGGGCGCAGCTCACTCTCTGAGACCCCAACCCCTACCCTGGTTATTAAATGAAACAGTTTTCACTTCAGAGTATCTAGCTTTCCAGACTCTTAGTAATCCTTTTCCAACCAGAAGACCAAGGAGTTTCATAAAAGAAATGGGGAATGTATAAATCTATATAATATCCGAATTATTGTAATATCTCAAACTTATAATGGGAGACATTTTCTGCCAATTTTATGTTTAGTACACATGCTAACTGTTGGGGGGTCACATCAGGTCTTCTTTGTCATACACCCAAAAACCTAGTAACTAGATAATTAGAGTAACTCAGAGGAACCTAGTTTTTTTTACCCAGTCCAGACCAATAAATGTTTTCCCTAAGTTCCCATCAGGATTAGCCTCTGAGATGCGTAACAAGTGGCAATAGTTTCTATTATGCTGTCAATGCACCACGTCTAAGGTGACAGAGCTGTTGGAAAGAACAAGCAAGGCAAAAAGCGCTGCTGGTTTGTCAATGTCTTCAGATATTTACGGTCCTAGGCCCGGTGCTCAGCAGAGCCAAATTGGAAAGTGTTTTTTTCTGTCGTGCAGTTTTGCTGTCCTTGTGTCAATAGCAACTTCTCAGATAACATGTCAACAATGGCAGGTATATTTTGAAAAGTGGCCAATATGATGAATCATACAACTTGTAAAAGTGACCAGGGCAAAAATAATGTAGATAACCATATGAGAAACAACTTAGAAGGCTACATATGAACAATCACAAATGCTACCAACAAATAAACATTTGTACAAAAATTAGGAATTAAAAATGTAAATGGCAACAGGCTGTTTTTCTTGTGGAGAACAAAGAAAGGTAAAGTTTCTGAAAGACATTTGAAAATGATTTATGTGACATTCAAAAGTTCATTGTAAAAGTTCAATTTTGGTAAGTACTTCTCTCTCTAGTATACTGACAATTATCTCCATATCAGGCATTTTTCTTGCCTTCAGATTTTGAGGAAACAATCAAATTTAAATGGATAGTCTATTTCTTTTTTGCACATTTCAATGTCAAAAGTTCCCATTCCTTTCAAAAAACATAGCAGGGCTTGTCTTTCTATGTCACTTTACCCAGGGTCTCTAAAATTTTATAAAAGATTTGTCATATAACAAGACATACTTTTCAAGCTATATAAAAGGATGGTTGAGTCTTTTATAAAATCTTTGCATCTAAATGTGGGGCTGTATGGACAGCCTGTGGAGGCAATTTCACTGGTGTCTAGTCAAATATGTGGAAGACTTTGTATTTTTTGGAAACTCCATCAGTCAAGAGTACTTTGAGTGTTTCTTTCAAATTAGCAGAATTTCCACCCATTTCTTATGAAGACTCCCATCGTCAGTTTTCTTCCCATTGATGAATTTACTAACTCTGAATGCAAATATTTCACTTTATCTCATCATTTTCCTGACAACCTTTGGGTAACTGCTTTCTTAATTAATCCCTTCCAAAAATCAAATTTTCACTTAAATATATTTCATGATTCTCTTAGACCATCTGAAACACTGAAATCTGTACACGACAGCAATCATACTATTCAGCACATGTCACTAAGAGGAAAACTACCCACCCTGGAGGATCTAGTCAAACAGATCTGATATTAATGTCAAACAGATTGTCATCTGGGAAAACAAAAATGCATCAAAATTGGCTTCGGGCAAAGTACAGTTCTATGGAAAAACACCAGGTTTTTATGTGCAAATGTCTTAAATGTCTGATTGAAATGTTTCAAGAATGAGTTATCAAGAAATCCTACTTCTGGTCTCCATAACCCAGGAAAATGTTATAATCAAAGTAGTTTCACAGTTAAATGGATTTTCATCTCAGCACACTGTGATTTTACCAAAGATGCATTTGCCCCAGTTTCTAGTAAACATTATAAAGAAACGTTTGGTTTCTAGCTTGGGCCCAGGGTTCTGTTTAGCCTATCAAGGAACAGACCTGTTATAAACGCTGGGACGCTTGCCAGAATTTTTTTTTTCCTGCAACTCTTAGTAAAGATCGTACCTCGAAAGCAATGTGTGTTGCAAACCACGCAAATTGAAGCTCCCACTCCCGCCTACATAGCTTGGCAACAGAGGCTTTTGAGGTATCCCTGGCCTCCTCAAACTCAGGCTGAATCTCCACTACGTCTCCCCACCTTCCCACCACCTTGCTCAGCTCTCCAGAGCTCAGCACAAAGCGTCCCCAAAGCACTTGCAGAGTGAACTAATAGTGCCACCCAACTCCCAGCCCTGCGCATACCCAGAAACACACTCCCTCCCTCCTCTGCAAACTGCCCCAAATTTGTCACCCACCTACCCAAACCTCCACGTTCCTATTGCTTTTCCCCTCCTCCTGGTGGTTTCGCCCTCAAACAGCTGTCTGCTCTTACGACTACCAGATGTCAGGTGCCCACGTCGTGCCCTGTCCAGCGCCCCTTCATTCCAAAAAGCGCTTCCCCACTCCGCCCCGCTGAAGGTCAGTTTGCTCGGAGCACCTTCTTCCACGCTGGTGCCCACCTGCAGATCAGCCCGATTCCCACCCACGTGAATGCGTAGGAAGCGGTGCCTGTCATACCTGCCGAGAGCGCGGCGGCTGCGGCGAGCAGCAGGAGAGCCTGGTGGAGGGCAGCGCGGAGCGCTCGGGTCATGGCCACCCAGCGGCCAAGGCAGGGCAGCGAGACCGTAGAGCGGAGCTAGGCGGCCCGCCGCTTTGAAGTTCCCGGGGCGCAGGAGGGAAGCGCAGCCCGACAGCCGTTTGAAGTGCGCGGTTAGCTCCGATCTGTGAGGGCACCCTCCTCCTCTGCCTCCCCCATCCCACACCCCTCCTGGCTGGCTGTGCGCAGCGCTCCAGCCACTGACCCCAGCAGCCAGCCGGAGGGGAGTGGTGGGGGTTGGGGGCGGATGAGGGTGACAGAGCCCGCCCCTGCCGCGCCTCCGCCCCCTGTGCCCTTTGGTAACCGCCTGTGGCCTGGCGCTGTTGGGCAGGCGGGCAAAGGCAGCACGAAGGCAAGGAAGGGAGATCGCTCGGAACTTGGGGCGGGGGATGGGCCAGGGGTGTGGCGCGGAGCTCCCAAGACTGGAGGTGGGGGTCCCGACGGGAGGGAAAGCCCTACAAAGACTTTGGGAAAACTTAAGCCCTGCAGTAACTGCTTCCTGGTGGTCAGCTCTGTAGTGCCCTACAGAAAATCCAGCTATCCGGGTCTCTTGACATTCGTTTGTAGTACAGTGCCCTAAAGGTTTCTAACTAAACAGCTAAGACACACACCTGGGTATTCCTGCCTGGCTCTTCCCACCACCAAGTCCTAGCTGTGCCTGGGTCTGTGGAAGGGCGCCCTCTCTGTTCACTCCCGGAAGCAACCTATTGTTCGCCTGCAGGGGCTACCCATTGGCTTTGGTTTCTCCAACTTCATTTCTGATGTCTTCCTGAGACCCTCCCCTATTTAAAATGGCGACTCCTGCAAGACCACCTGTACCAGGTAAATGAGGTTGAGGGCCCGTCCCTATGGAAGATGTCTCTGGCAACTACAATTTTAGCAACTGAAAAATTGGGGGTGGGTAGAGATCATACTCAAGGATTAAGGGGAGGTAAAGAAGGATTTAAAGTATATTAGAAACTTGTTTGAGTGTTGTTTAAATTTCTGGAGCTTATTATTTAATGGTTGTGTTTCCCATGTGGATTGTGATTGAAAATGCAAAAGCAACATTACCGATTAACAAAAGTTAGCCTTAATTAAATTCATATGTGTAACCTATATGTACATTGACGTGAACTGTATTATTTTAACCTAAACAACACAAAAAGCCAAGCATTCAATACTAGTGTCATTTCTACTGTTATGGGGCACCTTGAAAAATGATTGCCATATGAATTAATTGCTCTAAAGTAAGGAGATTACTTGAATCTTCACCTGGCTCCGCTATAAATAATGCAAGTGTTCTGAGGTCTATGAATGATATACACAACTGACTTACCATCCAAGGACTGCAGTATCTGGGAGAGGGGGGACGTTTGTTGCACTTTGATGCATGATGGTGACAGTCCTGGGCATCTCACCTCAACTAAATGCCACCACCTTGAATACATCAAGACATCCCTAAGCATAAAAAGACTTCGTTCTCATTTTATCCTGGATCCAAGTAAACAACAACAATAATAACGGGTATGTGGGACAAGCCTGAGCCCTTTCAGACACCCACAAAACAGATGCTTTTTTATTTTTTTTAAAAAAAAGCAACAAATTGCTAGGACACATATTTTGGCTGACTTGGCTTGCTCATTATTTGGTAACTGCACCCTAGATTGTAATCTACTCTTGCATCGTGAGATTTGGAGCTGAAAGAGCAGGATATAGTGTCCTCTATTGGCCTGCTTCTTCAGAAGCAAATGAAACTTTGATACCCTACCCCTATTTCTCAGACTCACAACCAGGGTTAAAAAGGGAAGTGATGTGACCACACTGCCAACCATAAAACATTAATAAACACTCATGTCAGGTATTTATTCCCACATATTTATTTTGTCTCTTGAAAACAGTAACGTCCCTGCAAGTTGGAAAGCTCTCATCACCCAGGAAAGCAAGATTATTATCCTGAGGATGTTGATGTTGAATAACTTTAATATTGCAACAAATTCAATGCTTTCCTCTTACTGTAATGGCTCATTGTCTGCTGTGGTATCGGTAGCCTCATGGTACAGTATTCAGTTAGCCACAACAGGATAGCGAGCACTAGAAATGTGGCAGTTGAAACTGACATGTGCTGTATGTATAAAATACATGCTGGAATCCATACACTTAATACAAAATAAGAATGCAAAATATATTGCTAATAATTTTTATATTGCTTATATGTTGAATTGTAATATTTTGGACATACTGGGTTAAATAAAGTGTATTACTGAAATTAATTTCACTAATTTCTGTTTTGATTACAGATATTAGAAAATGTTAAATTATATATATATATATATATATATATATATATATATATATATATATGGTTCACATAATATCTCTGTTGGACTGTACTGGTCTAATGAATCCTCACCACATAGAAAGATCGTTGTCTTAAGCACAGTATAAAAATCAAAAGAATTGTTAAGTGCCTTGCCAGTTAACACATGGCCAGCCAATGAAGGAACCATGATCTGAATTCTTGGTGCCATATTCTATGATACAACCAAAAAAAATAATTATGTCAAAAATCTAAGGTCTTAATTTGCAGGAACATTTTAATCTAGGTCTTCAAATATGATTTCCCTCTGTCACTTGTGCATGTTCTTCTCCCAACATTAACACTATAGAAGCTCTGAAGTCATAGTACATTCTCAGGCAATTACAAATATTTCTATATTCTTGAGTCCTTAAGGCCACCTTTATGGCAACAAAGAGAACACCTTCATCCTTATAACATCCCAACTTTTACTTAAAAAGTATAATTTGTTTATACATACACTCGCTTACTACAAGGAAATTAATTCAACTTTAATTCAATATATTTTAAAATAAAATACTATTAAGAAAATACTCTTTGGAGCATATTAACTGACATCTGTTGCTTAATATAAGCACTACAAATGCATGATTCAAGATGTAGTACAACATCTTTCATATTTTATGTACATAACAGAAAAAATTTACATAGGAAACTTTTTATTTCACTAAAAAGAAATTTACATCCTACTGTCCCTCAAGATTTAAACTTCCCCTCACCTTAATCATCTGTTTGTACATGCTCATTACCATTACCACACTACATCACAACTCCTGATTCTCATAACCAAAAAAAATGTCAACAACAAATAATCGAGGAGTTCATACCATCAGCAAAATGGAGTTTGGGTGAGTAACTCTTACATAAGCAAGGAAATCAGGACTTGGGATTTGAGACTATAAAGATCTGATACATTTGCATAATAACATTTTTAATTAATAAGGCAAATGCTGTAAATGTGTGTAATAACTGAACTTTGAGAATGACTATTTGTTGGATGTGGTTGTTTGGGATTTTTTTATCATACAGGTTTTCTTCATTATTCTTTTTTAAATTTTATTTTTAATTATAATACAGTCAATATTGTTTTAGATTAATTTTGGGTGTACAGCATACTAATTAGACAATTATACATGTTACAAAGCAATCCCTCCAATATTTTCAGTACCTACCTGGCACCATACATAGTTATTACAATATTATTGACTATATCCCCTATGCTGTGTATTATATTCTCTTGACTATTGTTTAGCTACCCACTTGTACTTCTTAATCCCTTTACCTTTTTCACCCTCCAATCCCCCTCACCTCTGGCAACCTCAGTCTGTTCTCTGTATCTCTGTTTCCATTTGGTTTATTCATTTACTATTATTCTTTCCAGAAACTCCAGTGTCACTCATCTTAATTCTCATTTCACCTTGGAACATCAACTTACCAAGGAATGAGCATATGGTGAGGAGGCAGATGACAATAATTTGCTATATGCTATCAAACTCTGATCTGTTCTCATTTTACTGCACTTTTCCTTCCCTCAACTCATATTCTCTCTAAAGAAGTACATGACACATTCATCTCCACTCATCTCATCTCATAATCCCAGAAATCTTTGCATTAGGAAATCTTGGCCTTTCCTTTTCCTTCTCCTTATTCTTTTGATTAACCTTTCCATTAAAAATACAAGTTTGGGAACTTTCACTGAGATCCTACCATAGGTACCTTCACTGTGCCTGTATTATGGGACAGCTTCTTCTTCACAAAGAAGAAAAATAATAACCATTCTGTGTATATGAATAATAGAGAATATCAAAACAGTTTTTTAGCTCATCTGCCACTGCTAAAAGCTTAAAGTCCTTTTTCAGTATCTATGTTATCTGTTTACCCTACCTTCCAAGTGGCTGCCCCTTTCATTGATTTTCATATCCTTTTAAAACTATTAATATGGTCTTTTCATGTCACTCGAACTTTGTTTCTTTCCCCTTCCAGTGACCAATGGCAGTGTGCTGGGAGGCAGTCAGTACAGGCTCTATCTGTAAAAGGCAGGTCAGAGAATCAGTTCCAAGTAAACAAGCCACCACCACATCGGTCACTTCCTTAGAATGGTCTTACATTTATACTCGACCAGAGTGAGATGACTAAGTGATAAGCCATCCCTTTCTGAATAAATAACCAAAAAGTACAGAGTTATATTTACCCCAGACAAATCAGCATTAGGGTTCTGATCACCTTGACTCAAACAACAGAGGAGTCTAACGCTGCTGTGTCCACAGCTGGCCTCTTGTGGCTGTTGAGTACTTGAAATGTGACTACTTTGATGTGATGTGTTCAGTAAGTGAAAGATATGCACTGGACTTCAAAGACTCAGTAACCCCCTCAAAACCCTTGAATTTATTAAAGATTTTGAAATAATAATATTTTGATATATTGAGTTAAATAAAATATATTATTAAATCTAATTTCATCTTTTTACTTTTTTAATGCAACTAGCAGAAAAAAATTAGAATTATATATGTAGCTCTTATTATAGTTCTGTTGGGCAGCGCTCATCTCATGAATCCTAATCAGATGTCAAGGATCATTTTTCCTCTGATTGAAATGGTAGGAAGAGCAAGACCTTTCTTTCATCGCATAGGTCCAACTTCAGTTATCTTCACTCCTTTCATCTTTCCAATAGTGACTCATATTCAGTTAATAATAAAGTCACATTCACTTTCCTTTTGTGTTGGCAATTGTCATTCACACTCTTATTTCCACAGTCCAAGAAAGACCTTAGTAACTTCATACCTGAGTTGTAACTAAATTACCTCCACAACATTATGTCATTCCCATCATCATGTTTTCTCAAGGCTGCCATCAGAACAGTTTTCTACTAATATGACT